GGGAAATGGAGGCCAGTTTATAGCCGAGTCTCCCAGGACCAGGACCCCCCGCTGGAGTCAAGGTCCACATGGTGTGGTCAGTGCCCAGGCAGAGTGAGCCCACCAACCCACCTCGGCCTATTCTTTTCCCCTGCCATGCCACAGACAACACCCTGGCAGGGCCAGGCTGGGCTGGCAGAGGGGCGAGCCTTCAGGAGGTGATGTCTCACAGTAAGGCTGGAGGTATGAGGTGTGAATGCCCAGTCTGCCCGCAGTCCGCAAGGGCCTCCCACAGCCGTGGGTGCTGAGGTCGAGTCACAGACTTCTCAGGACTGGGCTGAAAGGAAGGAAATGCCAGGGCGAGGGGCCTCTGGGCTGCAGGGACAGGCAGGATGGGTGGGCAGGGCCTCTCCACGAACAGGCGTCGCAAGCTGCAGCCGAGGACATCCGTTAGCCCCAGGAGCGGGTCCAAGGAGCCTGGCAAGATGGCAGGAAGGAAGCCCGCCTGCCTGAGCAGAGTACTTATGGGCAGGGGTGGGAACCTGGCCAACGCCGGGCCACCAGCCTTTTTGTCCCTGGTGAACACATGCAAAAGCGTGTTGTTTTACAAGAAGGGTGGCCATGCTGTGTGCCAGTGCCAGCGTCTGGGGCCCACTTCTGCCAGGAGGCCTGGTGCGCAGCGGCCACCTGCCAGACAGCACTCACCTAGGACACGGAACTGGGGCCAACCCCTGCAGGCTGCGGCCCAGGCAACTTCTAGGACCCAGTCCCACTTGGAGAGGGGTCCCTAGCCATGGCAATGGTGACGCACTTTCTGACAGGGGCCCCTGTGGTTGCCCCCGTGGCAGAGCCCATCTCGGAAGGAGGAGTCCCCCCAGCAATCTGCCTACCAGACATGCAAATGACACGCCTGCAGATGCATGCATGTTCACAATGGGCCGAAGGTGTGTACACACACATCCAGGGGCACACACCCACCTACGTACACTGGAACTGATGGCTGCCACCAGTGCTCCGTTGAAGTCTGAGGGACAGAGGGGTCAGGGACAATGATCACAGCCCTGAGGGGCCCGCTGCTTCCCAGGTACGTGGGGGGTAAAGTTCTAACTTACAGGTGGTGAAAGTGAATTTAGGAGTCCAGCAACTTGCTGGGAGTCGGGGGGAGTGGGGGGCGCTAACGGGGATCAGGAGGCTGAAGTAGGCACCATGAGGTGTGCACCCAGGGACACAACTGCACTGGCACTGGGTCACCCTCCCGGCTGCCACCAGCCCAAGGCTCCCGTCTGTGTCCTGATTTTCAGGGGAGGAACACAGGGACTCCATGGTGCCCCAGGGGACAGTGCGCCCCCTGATCTCCCCACTTGCAGGCCCTCACCTGCACTGAATGTGTAACAGGAGTGGGAAACAGATGTGAGAAGCTGCCGAGTTCAGGGGCCTGTGTTCTCCACAGCAGGACCTGTTCTATCCTGGCCCATCAAGGACCCCGTTTCACCTTTCCCACAGAGCAGGTGTCTGTCAGCCTGCAGTGCTGGGTGCCATGCTGGCCAAACCTATCCACAGTGTCATTGCTCACATGCCTGGCTCCCTTCTCAGGCTCTCTGATGCCTACAGCAGATGCCTCTGCACACCGTGCCACCACAGACTCCACGGTCAATGTAAAAGGCAAAGCACTGAGACGTGGGAGTATAGGGTCACGTCTTTGACCCTCAGGTAGGGAAATGTTTCTTAAGCAAGAGGAGTCCTGCACACAGAACCGGGCACTTCCTGCTCCAGGGGCCTCGGGGGGCTCTGCACGTGGCCTTCTGTGACTCTCAGAAGGGTTCTCGAGACAGCACTGCCCAGAATTGCAAAAAAAAAATCCACGTTGGGCAGTACAATGGCCTAAATTGTCTCCCCCCCCCCCGCGCCCCGGCACCCAATTGAGAATTCTAACCCCCAGCACCTCAAAATGTGACTATATTTGGAGACAGGGCCTTTAAAGAAGTTAAATTAGGTCAAATGGGTGGGCCCTGGTAATACGACTGGTGTCATCATTACAGGAGATCAGGACAGAGGCAGGCGCAGAGGGACAAGCCTGTGAAGGGGAGAAGACAGCCATCACAAGCCAGGGGGAGGAATCACCCCTGTAGATACCTTTGTATCAGACTTTTAGCCTCTGGAATTAGGGAAAAACATATTTGCTGTTTGAGCCATGTGGCCCCAGCAAAGGCACACAGGCTTCACTCCAGGCACTGAAGCTGCCTGCCACCCACTGCCTGGGTGGCTGCACTCCTGAGTCCTGCTGAGTGGACGCTGGCTCGTCGCAAGGCTGAGTGCCCCACCCCACTCTGTGGGAGGATCAGACGCTCATCCATCGAACTCAGGTGTGCTTGTCTCCATGGTAACAGAAGGGGAGACACTTGTTACTTGTGGTTCGCTATGGTGTCTCCCCTCTGTGGTCATGGAAAAACACATCCAGTGGGGCTCCGATTGGCATGTGTCAGTCAGTATGGGACTAGAAAGAGCAGAGCTGATCTGTGACATGAGGGTGGCTGCAGTGCTAGAAATTTGTTACTGCAGCACAGCTTGGCATATCCTGACTGATACAACAGACAACAGCTCCACTGACCTCACCCTGTGCTGCTGGGCCCTTGGGCAGTCACTAGGGCTCAGGCCACTGTGGGGCCTTATCTCACTCAACCCCTCCCCCAGCCCCCCAGCCCCTATGAGGATAAACTATTCTAATGGCTCAGACAGGTCAGGTGACACGTGGAGGACTGTCAGCTTCCAACCTGGACAGGTAAGGTGTAGTCAAGCTCAAGTCCATTATCTGAAGGCCCACACCTACCAAGGAACGAGCATGCAGGCGAGTGCTCAGAAGTCACGTGTACCGAAAGCCGCATTCAATACTCCAACCACAGCATGAAAAAGTCTGCTTCTCCATGCTCAGCAATCCTGGTACCTACACTTTTAAAGTCAGTCCTGGAATCACAGACTTGAAAAAAATCACCCCTACTACTTTCATGATTTTTTGAAATGTTGAAATCTTTAATTTGTCTGGAGTACAGGCTGGTATAAACAGTGAGGAAGGTGTCCAGTCATATTATTTCCCAGATGGCTAACCAGTCGTTCAGCTTTTACTGAATAATCCAGTTTACACCCATTAATTTAAAACTCCTCTAGTATGAACTAAATTCCTCATTTAGTTGGCTTTATTCCAAAGTTCTCTATTCTCCTTTGTTCATCCATCTGCACGAATTTCCAGGCACCTTCTTTACTGCAGCTTCATAAAATGTTCAGTATTTCATAGGACCTTTTCGTCAATACTTCCGGTGATAGAATTTTCTTTGGACACAGGTACTTTAAAAAGCCCTCCCATAGTGCCCACAGTGCCCCATCCTTAATAAATAAAACCTGTGGGTACTTCCAAGGGACATGAAAGGCAGACATGATCTGGAAGGCGCCAGCGCGCTCCTCAGGGCTGCCAGCCCGTGTGGGGAGCCAGGAGAGCCGAGTGCTCCGAGGGCCTCCTCGCTGGGCCCGCCACGTGCCTGCTCGCCCAGAGCGGGGAAGCAGCTAGGTCACTGCATCTGCCCAAAGGCAGAGGAAGCTGTCACTTTGCGACACCATACTCATTCCCTGTGTGGCAGGCTAGCCCAGTCCTCCCATCCTCTCCTGATGTCACCTAGGGACGAGCAACTCTGCCAACACCACTGAGGCCCTGCCCTCTCCTCCTTTCCTTTCGTGAGGGCAGCCCAACCACCCTAAGGCCCATTTCCCAAATTAAAAAAAGGGTCATCAGGCCTCTCCCCAAGTCCCCCTGGGCCTGCCCTGGAAGGCCCTCAGGAGAGGTATGTCAGACTATAATCCAAGCCCATAAGAACTGTCTGGGGCCTGAGGGAGGAAGGGCCCCAATGGGACAGGGGGTCGGAAGGGAAAATGACAACCCTGAGCTGAGGGTCCACTGAATGGAGACAGGAAAGACAGCCTGTGCAGAACCAGCCACATAACAGAGGTGTCAGCTGGGCCATGGGTCCCAGAAAGCACCTCTAGGTCCTACTGCCAGAGCAGTTTGGCCAGCTCAAAGAGGGGCCCTTCTGATTATCACCAACCACACCAGACCTGCAGGCAGCAGGCCGAAGCTGGCGGGGGTCAGTGGGAGCAGTCGGACCTGGGCAACAGCACGGAGGGGCAGTAGTGCCACCCCTCACAGGAGCACTGTGGCTGGGGCTGGCTGGGACGTTCAGGGATTCTCCACATCTGAGCAGAATCAGACCACATGCAATTGCTTTTGTCAGCTTGCTTGTTTCCTTTTAGGGTTGTATCAGCTTCCCACCTATTTCCAGGGTTTGCAACTGGTTTACTAACAAGGTATCTGTGCCTTAAAATACACACATAAAACCCTCTGAACCCAGGGCCTTCTAAAGTCATAGTTACTAAATAAAATAACCCCAACAATGTACTTAACTTTTTTTGCTGTATGTTTGCTTATTACAATGTTTCCTAAAATAACTAGTTTTAGTTGCAGCTCCCATTTCCACTTATTTCTTCCTCCTACTTTCCAGGAAGGTGTTCTCTCGTTTTGTTTGCACAACTATAAAACTGGAAGGGGCTTGCCGTTCCCGCCTAACCACTCCTCCGCGTAGGTACAGTGCACCAGCCCTCCGCTCCGTCTGGCTGGAGGGAGCTCCCCGGCTCAGCTCTCGCTAACCCACCCTTGTACCAAACGGGTCTTTCTTCATTCCAGTCCTCTGGCCCCCGGGGTCCTCCAGCTCCCTGCCGCCTGCTCCTCACTTTATCTCCCCTCTCAGAAGTCAGTTCTCAAGGCCACACTCCACCTGTCAAGCCTCCTGTTCCCACCCAGTCAGTGCAACTCATCAACCAGACCCTTCCATCCTCAAAGCTCCCAGCCACACATGCGACACTGATCTGGCGTGTTTGCGGCTGGGGCCTACCCTCTGTGTTCCCGACTGAATGGGCCCAGTGTTGCTGCCAGTGGAACGGACTCTGCTTGTCAGCAGTCACCACACCGCAGGCTCAGCTACTGATCCAATGCACATTTAATGAGCACTGGCTGTGTACCAGGGGCACAAGCTAAGATGGAGCCCCTGCCCTAAAGGCTCACAGTTAACCCCAAGGTACAAGTTGTGTGGGGAATTAGGTGCTGAATAAGCAATGTTTAAGAGTGGGCAAGAAAACAGGGGCTGTTGAACAGTGGGAGGGCAGCAGGGGTAAAGGCACTGAAAGAAAAATCCAAGAAAGCCAGGTGACTAGAATGTTAACATACAGAGGGAGAAAATGCCTGGAATGCATTTGAGATTAAAAGGTGGCCTGCATCTCCCCTTCCTGCACTGAGCCTTCCCAGCTGACCAGGGCTGCTGACAAACCCACAGAGAAGCATCTTCCTCCACCGACACCATCCGACTCACACTCAACGATGAGTGGCCACTTCCTCCAAGCAACCTTCCTTCAATTCCTGCCCAGAGGGCAGGCCACAGAAAGCAGATTGTGGGGCAAGGGGTCAAAGCAAAGACCACCCAGGGACCAGATCCAAACTGGGCTGGCATGACAGACCCAGTCCAGTTGCAGCCAGGATTTGAGGGAGGGTGGTAGTTTGTGTCTACTTGGGCAGGTAGGGCTTACAAAGACAGTGCAGATGTCTGATGGGGACCGACCTACAGAACTCTGCCCAAGTAGAAGGAGCAAGCCCTGGAGAGACGGCCCTCCCAGGGCCGCTATGGGGATGCTACCGAGCTTAGCACAGAGTAGCCTCTGGGCCACCAGGGAAGTCACAGAATGAGTACAGGGCAGAGGCCAATGTTCTGTGGTGGGCGAGGGGGTTGTTTATAGTCAGACAAGGCAGAGTCCAAACAGGTGCACCTCCTGCTTGGCAAGGGGGCAAGTGGACAGCGTAACACATGGCAGCACTATGTCTGAAGTCACCTGGCAATGCCACTTCATCCTGATAGGAGGCTGTGGAGCTCCTTGGCTACTACACAGGCCACTTCACCATGAGGGCCACTGCTGCAGCTGCCTGAACCCTGTTTAGAATCCAGGGTGCAGGATAGAGAGCAGGAGAAAATGGCGGCTCTCCTGGGGTCTCCACTGCGCCCTGTGGGTCACCTAAAGATGCCTCCTGGTCTCCCTCTTCCTCAGAAACCTCCTCCTCTGTCTTCTGGGGTTCTGGACTCACTGGGAGAGCTAGATCTAGTTTCAGGGCAGGGGGGGTTAGCAGATTCTGGAAGTACAAGGACAGATTTGGGTGCCCCCTCCCTTGACTGGGAGGAGGCTGGCCCCACCAGACCAGGTTTGGTGCTCCAGGCAGAAGTGGACAAGGCAGGAGGCTCAACGGGCCCAGGGCTGCTTTCCTTGGCCAGCTGCTGCTCAGGCAGAGCATTTCTGAATGCAGAGTCAGAACTAGGAACAGCAGGTATGGCCAGAGTGGCTGGGACAGGCCTGGGGGTAGAGCCCATGTTGAGTGCCAGGGTGTCTGAGAACCTAGCTAAGCACTACTTCACCACGGGCAGCTGTGGGGCCACTGGAGGCTGGCTCGAGGTGGGAGGAAAGGAGCAGGGCACTGCAGCATGGTACTCAGCAAAACTGTTTGGGTCCTGAATGACCCTCTTGAGATCCTGGCAAAAGCGCTCATAATCATCAGGCAGGGGTAGGTCCCTGTCAAGGTAGGGGGCTGTCCATGCCCGAGCTCAGCCTGTCAGGTGCCCGAGGACCTCACAGACATGGCTGAGGTTGTCCTGGTAGTACTCGAAGCGGGAAGACATGTAATCACTGAGCTGAGCCAAAAAGCGGTCCAGCAGCAATGGGGAGCCATCAAAGGTGCCTGGGTCTGAGCCTGGCACCCAGTGGAAGTCTACCCTGAGGGGTCATGGGCTAGGCATGTGCACAGCAAGGAGACCCCTTTCTGTGGCCTCACCATCACTGTGCTCTTCTGCTCCATGGTTGTGCGCACACACACACAGGGTCCCCACAGCAGGGCTGTTCAATCCAGGGGTCCACTAGGGGGGCATATGCAGCCCCAGGAGAGGCCCAGTCAATCTCCCGCCAAGGGTGTGCACTGGCATAATTGGCTGCAGCTCAGATGGGATGTAGAGGACCCTGCCACCCGCGCCAGCCACGAAGCATGCTGGGAATGCTGCACCAACTACTACAAAGAAGGGGAAAAGGGAGGAGGAGATGGCATGGGAGGGGAGGGTGGTCAGAAGCGATGCTTAGGACACAAGAGGACAGAGATGGGCTGGAGAGGGGCGCGGAAAACCCCAGGTGGTCCAGGCAAGTGCTGAAGGTCAGGGGAGCTGACAGCTGCGGCCTCAGGACAGCTGAGAAGAGCTGATGGGACTGTCAGATGCAGGTCGCCATCCAGGGCAATCTGTCCAAAAACAAGGTGGGGAAAAGCGGAGACCAGGCCCAACCATCACCATCGGGCTGCAAGAGGAGGCAACAAGCAGGCAAACCCTAGTTAACCCGCAAGGATCTCTGAATGGCAGGAGGGCCTGGCAGGTCCAAGAAGGCAGGCAAATGCCACCTGTGACATTTCAAGGACAAGGTGTGATGGCAGATGCTGTCAGTACCAGGAGAAGGAAAGGGGGCCAGATCGGAACCCCCTGGACTCCCTTGAGCAGCCAGGCTATCTGGGAATTTCAGGAGAATGACAGTAGTAACCTTTTACTGAGTGCTGTATCCACACCAAACACCCTCTCATAAGGTTGGTACCATAATAATGGTCCCCAAGGCAGAGTGGTGAGTGAAGTCACTTGTCTGCAGCCACACACCAACCAGTAAGTGGCAGAGGCAGCTGAACCTGGCTCTAGAGACCACTTAACCATCAACTTCACCACGCCAATTATGCACTACACCGTCTGCTTAGGAAGAGTTTTCTAGCTGCCCCAAACACTAACTTATGACATAGACGGACATAAGATTCTTTTATATCACAGCATCAGGAGCACAGTAGATGCTACCTATGTATGTGACAGAAGCCCAGGTCTTCCAGACTCACCTTACCACTCAGAGTACAGCCTACAGGCAATGCCACCCCGACCCTAAACACCACCTCCCTGTACCTTTTTCCCTGTTGAAAGCCCAGCATCTGACAAGTTTAAACCCACTGGCTACATCTTCTCTCACCCTCCTCCTGCAAAGGGCCTGGACAGTGATGACCATCAGTCCTGAGTAGCCCGAACAGCCCTGAAGTGGGAAAGGAGACTGTAACCAAGAGCAGGCACGGTTCTCTTCCAGTGCAAGCGGCCCTCGTCACAGGCTCTCACCCTGCCTGGCCTAACAGCAGCCACCTCCCCAGTCTTTCTGCAACCTGGAGGTCCACTCATGGCATCCACAGAACTCTCTGCTTCACCCCAACTTGTACAATTTTTCTGATGCCTCCACTCATTCCCCAGTGCATTATCGGTTCAGACCCAGGGGCACCACAGCCTGCCCACACCTTTGTGTGCAGTTTGCTATGTGTTTATCTACCCCTAACCAGAGTGAGTTCCTGCAGGAAAGCATAGCTCTGCGTCTTTCTGTCCAGAACCTCCCAGGGTGGCCTACAGCACTCAACACTGCCAGAGCCACCAACCCCTACCGTTGCCACCCGAGCATTACGGAACCTCTCAGAGACATCATCTACCCCAGGGGCAGCCTTCCATGTGAAAAGCCCTTTCCATCTTAATACAAGGGGAAAATATGCTTGGGCCTGCCAGCAGGAGTGGCCCAAGGAGAAGCACAGGAATGCAGTATACTCAGAGTTCAGTCCAGTCCCTCACCAAGCTCTGAAAAGCAATAACTACATTGCAGCTCCTATCACCAATCTGAAGTTAGGCACCAGGCCGCCCACAGAGACCATCCCATGCCCAGGAGCCAACCCACTACCCGGGTCTCTGCCCTCCCCTTCTCCCAGTCCCGACCTCCAGCCCTGCTCAGAACCCTAGCTGGTAACCGCTCATCAGCATTCCTGTGTCCTCTGCAATCTTAGGAAGAAAACTCTGGGCCAAACAGCCAGCCCTGCACGTGCCTGAACCTTCCCAAGCCTAGACCTGACTGATGAGAGAACTTTGGCTCTCCCATGCCTATCAGTCTATTGATCTCTCTCATTTCTCTCCCCATCCTGCCTGACACTGAAGAATTTGGGCCTTTCTCCTGGACCGGACAGCATTCTATCAGGAGCAGGTAACACGCGGCTTACGCGCACTTGCCTCCGCAAAGTTAAAGCCAGCACCCTGGAACACTGGAAGATTCCCTGCTCCGAGGAGACCCCGAGGCCCCAGGAATAGAATAACTTGCCTGAAGCCTCATGGCAAATGCGTCTACTTTAGGACAGACCACAGCACCACTCCTCCCGCAACCTCCCTGCAGGAAACCCTGGGGATTTGAGCTCACGAGCTCCACCGCAGTAAGAAGGCGACCCACCTACAGCTATGCCAGGCACCCACGAAGAGGGCCCTAGAATCTGCAGCCAGAGATCTTGCGGACGCGTTTCCCTCCGAGGGCGAGTCCAAGCGTCACCTACAAAGTGGAGAACAAGATCGACCGCTGTGAGGAGAGTAAAGGGCGCTACTTCTAGGGACTGAGAGGCGGGAACCAACCGAAAATGATTCCAGACGCCCCCTCAGCCTCCGGCGTGGACTGATAAACTGAGGCCCACTAGCCAGGAGAGCGGCAACCCAGTCCGAGGGCTCCGAGCACGTCTCGGCAGAAAGGGATTTGGGAAGGGACGGGACTGGAGGGATCCCACTGCCGCTCGCCCGGGGGTGCTCACCGCCCCAATGACCCTCCAGCCGAAGATAGCAATTCCAACTCTGTGCGTGCGGAGAGGAGCTCAGCGTTCCACTGCGTCGTGCAGCCACACCCCCTTGCGTGCGCGTGGTGCGTGGTCTCCCAGGACGTCCCCGCACTGGCTCCGGGCCCACCACAAGCTGCTCTCCCAACCTGGCTGCGCCTGCGCTGTGCGCCTAGGACCAGTGCGGCTCCGACGCTCCCTGGTCCCGCCAGCGCGGCAGCGTAGCGCGAGGGGTCATGGGATCGCTCTCTGCACTGCGCAGCGCCAAGTGCCACGTGAGCACAGGGGAGAGGACGGAGTAGGCGGAGCTATGCAGGGGAGCGGGCGGGGAGTACGACGTGTGTGATCTCTGACTAGCTAGTGGGAGGGGCCACAGCATCCACCTGGCTCCCGCAGAGCTGCGGGGGGTTGGTGCGACTGCAGCTGGGTGCTGCGGGCATTAAGAAGGATTTGGGCATGGAGGGACCGCGGCTGTCTTTTGTCAAGTTTCTCTCACCACCCGGTTTCTCTACTCCATGTTCCAAGAGCCTGGTTCTACATACCCATTTCCAGCGCAGAGCGAGAGGGCCAGGCAGCGGTTTCCCCAAGGACCTTCCACCTGGGTTCTGACAGGCAGGACCATGGGTTTCTTATCGTTGATGGGTTTCCTTCTACCTGCGCCGAGACTGGACCCAGAGAGGACAGTGAGGGTAGGCTGCAAAGGCCAAGCCTGCTGCCCAGGAGTGGAGTGCCAGTCAGTACCCAGAGATGCTGGAAAAGCCCTTGGAGGATGAGGTTGGGGGCTCCTCGCCTGCATGGCCCGGAGCCTCCCTCGGACCTCTGGACCTCTCCAGGCTTAGGCAGGAGGTGGGGGAAGGTACCAGCCCCCAGCTCAAGGTCCTAATATCCCTGGCCAAGGACTTGGATGCAGGCCAGGAGGTACTGGGGCCATGGACAGCCGAATTTACTGGAAAATGATCTTTCCCAAGGCGAATGCACACATAACACACCAGCTCCCTTTCTGCCCTGGTCTAGTGACTCCTTTCATGAAAGGAGCTCTGAAATGTTATCTGCATTTACACCCAAACTCACTTTCTTTGATCTTTGAAACACAAATCAAAGATCACATTGTACCTTCACTGAGTCTGTGGGGCTTTCAGCGGCCTCCGCCAAAAATAATAAAAGTGGCACCCGGCCAGGAAACACCTCCTTGAAGCGTGAATGAAACTTGTATTTTTCGGTTGTATCTTTCCTAATTGACCTGATAATTTAAACTTCCTGCCTCAAAGAACAGGGGGAGTTCCCGACAATTTGGCTTACCTCAGTCAATAGGCAGCAAAGGCCAACTCAGGGTCCACCAGCAGTTTTGTGCAAAAGACTTCATTCAGCTGGGCCAGGCCATCAGAAAAAGACTTTTTTGGTCCAAATTGTTTTGTTTTGTTTTTAATTCAGGCCATCTAGGTATATGAGCATATATATTTTAATTGTGCTAAAATATACATACATAAAATGTGTCATTTTAACTATTTGTAGGTTCACAGTTTGGTGGCACTAATTACATTCCATAGTGGTTCAGCCTTTCACCACTGTCCAGCTCCAACACTCTTCATCCACCCAGACAGACACTGTCCCCGTGAAACACCAACTCCTCACCACCACCCTTCCCCCAGCCCCTAGTAACCTCTGTTCTACTTAGTGTATATTACCTTGCCTATTCTAGGTACTTTTTGTAAGTAGAAGCACACCTTGTCATTTCGCTTAGTGTTTTAAAGGTTCATGTGTGTTGGGGCCATCTATCAGAATTTTGTTTCTTTTTTAAGGCTGAATAATATTCCATTATATGTACATTCCACATTTTGTTTATCCATTTATCTGTTAGTGGACATGTGTCACTCTGTTGTTCGGATGTCGACAGTTGCACAGAGCAAAAGCTTGCTGGTTCAGTTCCCAGTCAGGACACATGCCTGGGCTGCTGGTTCGGTCCCTGTGGTTGGAGTGCATATGAGAGGCAACCAACTGATGTTTCCTTCTCTCCTTCCCTTCCTCTCTCTCTAAAAATAAATAAATAAAATCTTTTAAAAACTCAGTTGATGATGAATGCAAAGGTTTTTGTTGGAATCTCTATTTCAATCGATTGATCTGTACGTCTACCTTTATGTCAGACATACGTGGTTACTGCACCTTCATAATAAGGTTTGAAATCAGGAGGTGTGAGTCTTCCATCTTCATTTTTGGGTTTTTTAAAGATTGTTTTGGGCCCTGGCTGGTGTGGCTTAGTGGAATGAGCATCTCCTTGGGAATGGAAAGGTCTCTGGTTGTTTCCCAGTTAGAGCACATGACTGAGTTGCCAGCTGGGTCCCCAGTTGGGGGCATGTGAGAGGCAACCACATATTAATGCTTCTCCCCCTCTCTTTCTCCCTCCCTTCCCCTCTCTCTAAAAAAATAAAATAAATACAGTCTTTCTTTAGAAAAAGATTATTTTGGTTGTTGAGGTCCCTTGAGATTCTACATGAATATTAGAATGGGTTTTTCTATTTCAGAAAAAAAAAACCTATTGGGACTTTGATAGTGATTGCATTTAATCTGTACATTACTTTGTGTATATGAATATTGTCATAATATTGTCTTCCAGTCCATGAGTATAGGATGACTTTCCATTTATTTAGGACTTCTTTCATTTCTTTCAGTGATTTTTTTTGCAGTTTTTAGTGTACACATCTTTTCTTCTGTGGTTAAGTTTATATCTATATATTTTATTCTCTTCGATGTTATTGTAAATGGAATTCCTTTCTTAATTTCCTTTTTGAATTGTTCATTGTCAGTGTATGGAGACATGCTGAGTTTTGTGTGTTGATTTTGTATCCTGAAACTTCGCTTAATGTATTTATTACTTCTAGCAGTGTTTTTGTGAAATCTTTCAAGTTTTCAAAGTAGAAGGTCATATCATCTGCAAACAAATACTTTTACTTCTTCCTTTTCAATTTGAATGCCTTTCTTTCTTTTTCTTGTCTTACTGCTCTGGCTAGGATTTCTAGCACTAAGTTGGCTAGAAGTAGTAAGAACAGGAAGAGCTTCCAGTGTTTCACTGTTGAGCATGATTTAGCTGTAGGTTTTTTACATATGACCTTTATCCTATTGAGGAAGTGTCCTTCTATTCCTAGTTTATTATTTTACTATGAAAAAATATTGAATTTTATCAAATGCTTTTTTTTTCTGTATCAATTGCCACAATCACATGGGTCTTCCCTTTCTTTCTATGGATATGCTATATTACATTGATTTTGATATGTATATATTTTAAATGGTTTTAACTTTCCTGTGAGCTGGATCCTGGGGAGGAGGGTCCAGTGCTGCTTTTTGTGTATGGTTTGATGATGAATGCAAAGGTTTTTGTTGGAATCTCTATTTCAATCCACGTAGTGGGACACTCTAACTTTGCTGAGAGCCCATCAAGAGCACAGCGTGCGATCTCAGGCTTCTCACCCAACAATGAGGCAGGAGTCAGCTCGTTTCCCAGATGGGAAAGCTAGGACTTGCCTGAGCAACGGTAAACTTGAGAATTCCTACCCAGCTTTCAGCCCCTCCTTTGGGAGTGCTCCCATTTGTCTTAGGTGCCACATGTGCGGGTTGGAATTGGGAGGCCCAGAGGCAGTGGTCAGGCAGGGGAGATTGGAGCAAGGACTTTGGTTCTGAAGTGTTTGGGATTGATGTCAGCAGTGTGGCTCCCCAGAGACGGGGGGCAAGGGGGCAGCCAAAAAGCAGGGACATGCAGCTGCTGAGAGAGCTGAACCGCTGCACAAGGCCTTCAGCCTCTCAAGCCTACCTGTGCTTCTTGCCCTTGGACCTTTATCATAGCCCCTCCCTGGAGTGAGCTGGTAGACATTCACAGCCCAGAACAGAGAGGCAGAATCTCTCTGCTCATCGAGCCTCTTCTTGTTCTAACAGAAATTTGAACCTTTTGGTGCCTTCTCAGAGGTTCCAGTGTCATTTTCCAGAAAGGGGTCTCTTTCCTGCCCTGCTGGTGGGCTGTGCCCCACGCAATTGGTATGGGTGCTTCAGAGACCCTTCCCACCTAGCCAGTGGGCTGGGCACCTGAGCCTGGTGTCCCTGGGGTTCCTGTGCTTCAGCCCTGTTATGGAGTGAATGTTTGTGCCGCCCACCCCACCCATATGTTGACATCCTCACTGTCCCCTGCTCCCCCATGTGTGTGATGACATTAGGAGGTGGGGCTTTCAGAGATGGGTATGTCATGAGAGTAGAGTCCTTATCAATGGAACTATTGCCCTTGTAAAACAGCTCAACAATATCAAATCTTCCAATCCATGAACAGATTCTATCTCTTCATTTTCTTAGGTATTTGTTAATTTCAGGAAGTGTTATAGTTTTCAGTGCATAGATTTGCAAGGATTTTCTTAAATTTATCTCTCAACATTTTAGAGGTATAGATACTATTATAAGTAATATAAAAAAATTTATTTTCTAGTTGTTCTTTGCCACTGTGTAAAAATAGAATTCACATTTTATACTATGCTCTTGCCAAATTCACTTAATAGTTCTAGTAGTTGTTTATAAATCTATGATTCCTTAGGATTTTCTATGTACACAACCATGTCATCTACAAATAAAGACAAGTATCCTTCTTTCTTTTATGTATATGATATTTGTATATCTCTATGTAGAGTGTGCATACATACATATATGATTTTTTAATTGGCCTATTGCAATGGCCAGGACTTTCAAT